CTGTTGTGGTCATGGCACTATTCTCAGGTGAAAGCCTTGGGCAAGCTAAGGTGCACCTGCTGTACATAAAAGTGAATCCAGCAAATTTTTCAGAAGCCCAGTGTAGATAAGTAAAAAGAGAAGGCTGCAGTCATAAAACATAATGTGAGAGGGAGCTAAATGTTTATGAAATTAGTTCAGTTACAGCCTAAGTGGCTGAGAGATATGACTCCTATTCAAAAACATTTCTCAGCTATGAAATTAGTCTCATACAGACCTCAAGATCCATGTATCATGATGCTACTAATTTATTCCATGTAAGTAGCTTCATCATGAACTTCCTTTCAATAACTTGGAAGGGATTATGTAATAATTGTGGTTCCACAAAAAAATGAAGAAAAGTAAATGTGAGGTAAGTTATTGTCATAACAGAGAAAGTCCAAAATACTTTCAGGTTACTACCAGTTTCAGGTCCTACTAACTTTCTATCTAGATATCACAAAAGAATCGTTTGAAAGTGTTCTGAAAAAATGTCATGCCATCAGGTATATCCAGAGCTGTACATGCATATAAAACACAAACCTATAGGCTTTTAGTATCAGCTAAATGTGTTACTAAACTTTTAATAAGTTTAAAATGAAAATATTCAAGCCAGCAGCCTTTTCTGTCAGGCTTTGTCAGAATAGCTATCTTTAATAAATCTGGTTCAGTCTATTTAGAATATCGAGGTTGAGAACTGGCATAATTCCAGAGCTTCAGTAATGTTGCTTCTCATTTACTTCTGGGCCGGACTTTGTTTCAGCCAAGCACTTACATATGTGCTGAAAGCCCTGACCGAGCAAAGAAATCCTTTACTTGACTGTAAGCAGAGTTAGGCTGCACCTCAGTGGAATTGCTTGTGTTTTTTTTAAGTTCAATTTAAGGTCTTTGCTGGACTAGAGCCTAATTGAACAGAATAGGGGATTCTGCTCTATAATCTTCTCCATAACACTCACAATCTCTTTTCTCTAAACTATCTAACTTGATACTGTTTATTTTGTCTTAGAGATAAATAAAATATGATCCATGGAATATTCCAAATGTCCTTAGGTTTCATCAAGTTGAGGAAAAGCTGGAGATCTCTAACATTGAAAGACATTCTCCTTCTGTTGTATGAAACAGGAAAAATGTGTTATGTTCTTTTGTGAACCAATTGCATAAATTTACAGTTAATTGCTAAGTAGGAAAATTCAGTATTACTTTTTGCAAAAATAGTTGAATTCAGGAATATAACTCCATAATTAGTGGATTATAGGCTCTTTCTCAAGAAAGTTTATTACAAATTTAATTAAAAAAAAGAAAAGTTGTATTCAACATTGAATTTTAAAAAATAAAAATAACTGAACAATTGTGATCCAACTAATTGATAACTAAGAATGGAACAAATGGTGAAAGCAGTGACAGTGACTGACTCTTGTTAGCATGAGGTGACAGTTCTCTGGCCCTTGTAACATGATTATGATTTCTGGAAAATATATTTGAACTGGAAGCTACTTTCTGAGGCTAGATCTGAAATGTCTTCTAATCACTCTGGTAGATACATTATACACACCTTTTCCTAAATAAAAAAGTTCTGACTTTGCGAACAGACATTCCCCTCCTTTTACTGAAATGCCATTGCAGAGCTTCACTGCACTTCTTACAGTTTCCAGGCTAAATTTAATCCTGATATGGATAAAAATCTATGTATTGCTGTTGCCTGGTATTTAAATAATGTTTTCCCTCATTAGTGTTTACCTTTCAATTACCAATTATAGTTTATTTCTCCAGTTATATCCCATATGACATTTTTTCTCCTGGCTACGCTGATCTTACTCTTTCACTGTATTGGCATCACTCCTCAACTCACCAGCAAATGCAGCCCTAAGTATGGCACACTCAACTCTCTTGCTTTATACACCTGGTACAACTGGGCTAACAAAACGCAATCACTGTTCAAGTGTGTCTTTTTTTTTTTTTTTGTATTAATCTGTTGATAATCTAAACTTTGTGGCCATTTGGAGTTTTTATGCATATTATACTCCAGACTTCCTACCTGTACAGGCAGCAATGCTCATCTTGAAGGTCACATAAAGTTGTTATTCTTCAGAAAGTCAAGCTTAGGAGCCTTTTAAGATAACTAGGGAAGAAACATCTGAATATCCCTTTTCTGAATTCCCACATAAACTTCTTTCCCAAATGTGGAGAGAGCATTGAACTTCCTGCAGAAGTAGTCTACACTAGGGTTTTGAGTACGTTATTGGAGATAATTTTGACTCCAAAGATTTAGAGCTGTGCTAGGCACTTTCATAAGAGGAATTTGAATTGTGACAATGTGAATAGACCCTTGCTTAGTTGAGAATTTTTGTTGTCTGGGATTCCAAACTCAGAGTTTAAGAAAAATGGAATTGGAAATTCCTTCAGATAAGGCTACACAATTTACAAAGGTCATCCTACACACTGACACACAACACTGGAACATATTCACGCTTCTCTTTGTGCCCTCCTTGATTTGAGATCTCTCTTGCCTCTCAAAATTTGGTCATTTTTCGTCTTCTTTCATTGATTTTTTTTTTCCTGGTGAAGGATGAATGTCAGCTTTAGTCCTCATAGCTCCTTTGGTAGTTTCATGCCGTCCTTTGCCCTTTCCATTCCAATTCTTTTCCTGCCGTGCTAACTTGCAGTAAAAGTGCAAACACCAGTTTGGAAGAGTCAGAGTGGAAGAACTTGCCAATCTCTCAGATCTTCAGTTTGACCTTCTTAACACGATTTATACTCTCAAGAGGATAAAGTTCTTCCAAGAACTGCACACTTATGAAAGTTTAGTCAATGCTGATATTTATGCTGCTTGCATAAGTATGTTGTTGCATTTTGCACTGTAGTCTTTAAGAGTTTCTGTAAACTATGCTCGGTAAACTGTAAAAGTGCTGTAGTTTGTGCTGTACTCATTTCAAATTTTTCATTAACCGGGACTGACATGTTCTCGATGAGCCCCCAGGACACTTGGATACTGCAGATTATTTGGCACTGATCTTTCTGTCTTGGCACTGAAATAACGTGCCCTGGCACAATGTTAGCATGCGCGATGTCACATTGGGTGCAAACTACCAGGAACAAAAAAAAAAGTCTTAAAATATTGCTGTGCAATCCAAATCTGCTCTCCCATGCTACCTGAGAAGTTGATAAGTGTTGATATGAAGCACTTCGTGCCCAGTTTCTAGTTATTTCACGGCTTGTTCCAAAACTCAGTTAATAATTTCACTATAGCTCCGAGCTCTGGTCTCTCCTTGAAGGACGTCACTTTTTTATTAGGTGAATATCACCAGGAATTGTTATTCATTGGTTATCTTTTATTACAATTGTTCAGCAACTTTTTCTGTACCATCTCTGTTCAATAGTTTTTATTCATGAACTGGAGGCATTAATAATCTCCCATCCCATTCCTGTGAATAAAATGGCAAATATAGGAACTTGGCATATAAGCACAAGAGCATTATGCATATAACATTAGTGAGACTGCTTCTGAGCTGCTGTATAAACAGTTTGGTTTATCAAAATATTGTATATTTGGATTTTCAGAAAATGAAATGTCTTCTACATCTTTGGCAGTCATGCCTTGGAGGGAAGAATTAAGAACTATATAATTTTTTTTAAGTCTAGTTCAGGAAAAGAGAAAAAGGTAAACTGATAATGGTTACATGAAACTGAACAGAAAAGGGATTTTTGAAAGCAGATTTGTTTTAATGTGACATCAAAATACATGATTATGTTCATTCCATATTGGTTTTAGTCCTATTTGGTCTGAAAATAAGGTGCATCCATGAAGAAAAAAAATATTATTTAAGATTAAATGTATTAACTAGTTTTCACTAATTAATATATTTAGCGTGACAGGCTGCATACATTTGCCTTCCTTAAAAGTTTTAAAGTAGCAATCTTTCTAAAAAGAATTACTAAAACTCAAACAGAATTGAATGGCTAAGTACAGAAATAATTGACTGAGGACGGAACATCAGGCTAAGTGAATATAATGATTCATTATAACCTCTAAAATTTGTGCTTGATATGTTTTTAACCACTATTTATTCTCAGACCTTGTGGAGGCTTGTTCAAAGACAATAGTACCTTGTTAGCAGATAGTTAACCACAAGGGTGTCAGTCTTTGCAGCAGATGGGGGACAGAGCCGAGAAAGACGAGGACTGAGGAACACCTCCCCCTGCCTCGTGTGCGACGTGTCTTGCCAGAAGAAAAGAAACAAAGCCAGACAACCGCGCAGGTGGCCAGATGCTGATTGGTTGTGCGCTTTGCAACACTTGTGTTAAGAAAGTATAAAAAAAAGTCGGTTTGGAAATAAAGTTGTCTCACTCTGCACCCCAGACTGAGTCCGTTTCTTCACAAGGTGCAACAAGACCTGGTCTCCACTCCTCGTGTAATCAAAGAAAGGTTCATAAATTCAGTTGGAGGTGGACTGGACCTTAAACCTTTTAAAAGGTACAGGACGCTGCTTGTAAATTAACTCTAAATAGTTGATTCTGTAGCAAGTATTCAAGCCAAAGGCAGGTCTTGCAAATAATTTAAAAAATGAATATTTCTGAGATTTCTCTCAAATTGTCATGGAATGAACTCCAGCTGTATTTATTATACACACTTTACCCATGTGCTATGTGCTTGCATTCTTTTAAGACGAATGATATTGCCGTAGTTGGAGTTGTCATGTTCTTTTTCCTGTTTAAATGAGGAATGTGTGGGAGGTTAGTTGAGGACAAAATACTGTATGACCTACTGTTATACTGCGGAACTTAACACTAGTAGTATGTAGAACTGTGGCCGAATTGTTTGGTTTAGGCAAGAGTTTCAGCTGAAGTAAAACACATCCTGTTAATGTCATTGATATACTTAATGTCTTGTTGCTGCTTTTGCTATGTCTACGAGAATCAAGAGCTGTATCCTCATCTGCTGTCTGACTTTCCAGTTTAAGTCTTCAGGCATTTTATTTTCTTACAGGTTAACTGGGCCTGGTCCATGCCTAAAGCTCCTAAGCACTGACCACGAATCACTGTAAATTCATTGAAATTAATGAAGTTGGCTGTCATCCCCAATCTAGAGAAATATTTCACCCTAGGAAAGCCTCGGAGTCAGCCAGGGAGCATACAGAAAGAGTTCATCGTGTGGCATGCAGCAAATGAAAAGATTCAGCTTCAAAAAATGAAATAAATTGTATGATATGCAATACCACAAAAGCCATATGCCATCACACATGGTATTATTTACATGATACTGATCTTAATAGTGACATAAATGTTGATCACTATTTTGCTCTTATGTCATAAATACACATAGGAGCTACAAGTTAAAAAAAGTAAAGACAAATGTGGCTTGATTTTAATTGGAGAGCTTCACAGAAATACAAGATGTCCACTTATAGGAAAACCTGTCTGTTTTACTTTTCTCCTGTGATTTCTAACATTTCTAACTTTGAAATTTCCTTTTTTCTTCTTCCTATTCTAAAGGAAAACAAACAAACAAAAAAGACTAGCATCCCAGGTCATTGTTTTCCACATAATTGTTTCCCTTTCTTAGATAACTTTTCTAGCCACTTTGCAGCCTCCCTTTCTAATTTTGCTGTGACCCTTCTATCTTGCCGTCCTGGCTGCACATTGGCTCAGTTGGAGTTTGCTCGCTTTCTGGAACCTGTTGAACTCTAGTGGTCAGGAAACCTTCCTGGGATGTGAATAGAACGGCTTCACTTCTCTGAGAGAGGTCCAGCTCTCCTGCTGTTGGGCAAAAGCTCTGAACACTCAGATGCTATGCAGAAACCGGCCCTTTATGTCGTCTTTAAAAGAAAACAACACCAGCCTTTCCTTACTTTTTTTTTCCTATGAACTAAGGTTCATCAAAGGTACTCTGGGTACTTTGGGAAGCTCTCTTCAGGAAAAATTTAGGATGGTCTATATGAATCCATATTGCAAGAGAGTAGGAGATAGCCCAGTTACCTCTGCAGACTGGGAGGGCACAATGTTGTGTTCATCCCGTGTGCAGTCATTACGGAAACTTAGAGCATGCTCAAGATATTCCCGGATTTCTAGATGCTCAGAGGTTTACCTCATTTGATTCGGGATTATTCTCAGCTGCTTAAGCAAAATTCAGGCACCAGAAGCCCTTTAAGTCATCTCTGTATTATCAACAACAACACTTCTGCAAAATGTTATATGGGGCATGAATAAGACCTGGAAGTGTATATCTGGGCATAGGAGCTGTTGGTTGGAAGTGGACTTGGAACAGTCAATTTTGCTGATTCAGTAGAAAAAAAAAGCAAATAAAATATATATTCAGTCTTTCAGGGGGACTGGCTGCATTGGGACTGTTCTGTGCAGTGAATAGGACAAAGCACATGGACTGTCTCAACTGGAAAAGGACCTTCAGGAAGCAGAGAAGGGATGAGTTGGTTTTTTGATCCATTGCAGTGAGTGTGAGCAAGCTATCAATATACCATTAAAGACCTAAAATAAAATCACCATGTCCCGAAGCGGAGAACCATATTCTACTCTCTTTTTTTTTTCTCCCCACCTCAGTGATGTTTGAGAGTCGTAACTTTTCTAATGACTCAGTTTATAGCTAGTGGAAGAAATTTAACAATTTCTTTACTAAGAGATTTAAAACACATGTTAACATATATTTATGACGGCTTAAAACAACAGCAACAAAATGGATACAGAAAACTTCCAGAAAAGGTATGTTGATTTTATTTAGTTACTTGCACACTCGATCTTTTCTATGGAGGAAGAACAAAGTTGTATTAAGATCTGGCACTGATCTCTGCCAGCCTGTTCTTGGGATGTTAATTCAAAACTCTTAGTTCTTTCCAGGGAGAATGAGAGTGATATTTTTCTACAAAAACACATTCCTTGCTCTGTACCTAGAAATGATGTAGAACCCAGTGTTGCCTGTGGAGCGTGAGTCATATGCTCCGCATGCATTGCAGGGCTTGGTAGGTGGGCAGTGAAGCACAGTGCTGGAGAGTGAGTCATGGGCTTCATGTGAGTGGGCAGACAAATTCTGCATAAGCTGGTTTTTCTGAGGCGTTTCTATGGGTATTTTGAGGGATAGCATATGGCATGGGCAAATTAATTTTGGTTTTGCTTGTGCCTGTTGTGGCCTCAGTTCTGGCCAGGGCCCCGTGTTATTTGGCATAACAACATCTCATACAAGCTTTTTTTCTGTCATTCCATCTTTGATGTGATTGTCTAGAGGAGTTTCGTCATCTGGCTCTGTGTAGGCAGCTTCCATTTCTTGTAATGTTCCAACAGAAACAAGGAAGTGAATGGAAAGAGCGAAAAAGATGAATAAACAGTATTTTTTCCCTCTGTTGCTACAAATGCTTTTATATCAAACAGTGGTTCTGCTGAACTTCACAGTTCAAAATATATGTTTTCCCTTTGCTCTGTTGTTCCAAAACTTCACCTGGTAACTGTAACAGCTAAAGAAATCCTGCCACTTTCTAATCCCAGGTTGCTGCCACAGCCCAAATGCCCCCAGCTGAGTTGCACAGAAGCCAGACCCTAGCCCCACTCTTAGGACATATGGGCCACGCAGTGCTTTCATTTCTATACGGAACTAGAGAAAGATGACACTCAGCTTACCCCTGATTTTCTTTGGATCCTGGCCCATGACTCACAAAGAACATAAAAACCAGCAGTTTTTCCAGTTATGAGAGAAAGAGAGGAGCCCAAGCTGGACTTCTCTGCGTTACTCCTTGCACTTGGCATCTCCCAGAAGAACAGCCTGGCTCTGCTGTCCGCTGTCCTCACGGCTGCTACCGGGAGAAGCCATGGGCAACACACCGTGACTCAGGAGGATGTCGTATTTAAAAGCTGCCAGTAAAGTTTGTTGTTGTTCTTTTCCTTAAGCTTTTCCTTAATCTCAACCTCAACACACCGCGCAAGGCCCCTTCCCCGTCGCCACCCCAAGAAGTCACTCACGAAGAGCAGCTTCCCAGGAGCAGCAGCAGGAGCCGATTCCCGGAGCGCCTCTTTGTTTCCTGCCGCCGCGCAGCGCTCCCCCCGCTGCCCCCTCGCTTTCGGGATCACGTTTCAGCCGGGGGGCCCGAGGGGGGCACCCCGGCCAGGTTCCTCCCACAAGAGGGGGGACAAGGGGGACAAGGGGGACAAGGGGCCGCCAGGGGGACAATGGGGACAATGCGGGCAATGGGGGGACATGGGGACAACGGCGGGACATGGGGACACAGGGACAATGGGGACAATGGGGACATGAGGGACACCAGGGTCAGTGGGGACACAGGGACAATGGGGACAAGGGGACAGTGGGGACAATGGGGACATGGGGGGACATGAGGGACACTGGAGACATGGGGGACATTG